TGAGCTGTGAAATCGATCACTCTCAACATGTTTTGCTGAATCAAAAATCTGGAATGAACTACCTACACCCATTTGTATGTGTAATACTTTGGACAAGTTTGAAAACAAAACAAGTTAAAAAACCAACCTATTTCAATCTGCTTAATATATTATAAAATATAGATCATACACTTACTGAATATTAACATTGACTATTACATTGAATATAACTGACTTTTAGACATTTATCGTTCGATGAATATGAACATGGACTTTTATATCCAATATTGATTGCTCATATATATATATATATATGGATCAGAATTTCTGCATATCGCTGTATATATATATATATATATATATATAACCTCTTTTAACAGAAGGTCACTATGCTGAGACGTCCATTCCCCTCCAGAACTTACTCTTCACTCTTGGTCCAGGACTTGCCCGAAAGAGCCTAGGGTGTCACAAATTCAGTTTGATTCTAGAATTCCAAACCTACTCTGAGCCATTCGAGGGAAGTTAAGGCTGAAGGAGTTTCCTCTAGAGCTTAGTTTTTGAAATTCATGTCTGAATTTTTCACTTCTTACCCAGAATAGATGATTTTCGAGCAGTAAATGTGCACRAATAAGCCGATTGGGCCATGCATGGCTGGCCAAAAACAATATTAATAATTGGTGCCTCTCTGTGGTTTGCAGCTATTTAAGTATTCTCGTTTGGTTGTTGGTCTTCAAGCATTTGCATGCTATGCCATTTGATTTAGGAAACATTGCACTTTTTCAAAGGCATAGAATCAGATCAGCCATGCCTAGTTCTGACGTCAACGCTTAATTCCCCACTGCCTCTGCAAAGCTTTCCAATCTCAGAGCCAAGCTTAGCTTAAGGCTCTAATTAGTTTTGTTGTTTTTTTGTTATTCTCCCAGGCCCAACACTTAGTCAGTGCATGCATGCACACCTGACAAACTGACAAGATTATTAAGGTAAGAGAGAAGAGGGAGGGTATGGGAAGGTGAAGGGAAGCAGTGACAGAGCTAGGGGTGTGCACAAACCGCTAAAACAGGAATTGACCTTTCACTAGCAACGCATTCCAGTGTGAAATTCAGACCCCCTAAGTGTGCTGATGTTAGGGGGTGGGGGGAGGGGTACCTTTTCATAAAACAGGTTATATATATATATATATATATAACAAAGTATGTAATGTGGTCTATACTGGTGAAACAGTGCTCGATGCGTAGGGATGCAGAGCAATAGATATATAGTAAAGATTAGATTAAAGACGAGACATGTTCACTGTAACTACGAGTTTCGTGCTTACGCACTCATCAGACAGACTTTAATGAAACATATTCCTATTAATGTGATATTTATATACAAGAGGTGTAATGATTATTTACAAAAGAAGTATTGTTCGGAAAAAAGTTAATTAGCTAGGCCTGGATTTCTATTGTTCAGGAACATCAGGAAAACAGATTTTCTTTCGGACTTTTCATAGTAAATACACTATTAAATAAACTATATACAATTCAATAAGAAGCACAATACTGTATATTAAACTTTTAAAGTAAAGAACTTGCTTTTTAAAATATTATTTTTTTATCTTTTAGACTTCAAGAAAGAAGCTCTACAGAAAAACGTATGGAGTTCATCAGAGTTTGTCTATCGGACCCTTGAGTAAATACGTTATAAACTATGTACAATTCAATAAGAAGTAGAATACTGTGTATCAAATTTTTAAAATGAACGAGTTTTAAATATTTTTCATCTCTTAGATTATAAGAAATAGGTTCATCAAAAACACGTTGAGTTCCTCAGAGTTCAGTGTCTTTGTAAATACACTAAAATACTTTAACAAAATTAAAATGAACATGTTTTTAAAATTTTCTTCTCTTTCAGAATGTATTTAGTCAAACAGCTGAATAGTTGACGTCACCTAAATTAGATAAGTTATTTACTATTTTAGCTGACCTCAAATAATTTTGAAACTACAAGTAAACATGCAGCTACTGAGATTAGGGGAAGAAACGATGATAAAAATGAATGTCTATTCACTCATTCTATGGATAGGTATGACCGTTATTTGGCGCACTTTTACTATTTTAGGTGACGTCAACTAAATAGTTATCTAAGTTAGATACATTTATCTAACTATACAACAGTTTGACTGAATGCACTCTATAAGAAAGAGGTTCATCTAAAAAACGTGGAGTTCCTCAGAGTTTGTATCTCGGACCCTTGGGTAAATAAACTCAATGAGAAGAACAAAATAAAAACGTTTTAAATATATCTCCTTTTTTAAATAAGAAAGAGGTTCACCAGAAAAACGTGGAGTTCCTTAGAGTTTTTCTCTCGGTCCCTTGAGTAAATACACTAATCTACTTACTAATTCGTGTGACTACTTTCTGGTCAATAAAGTCTATCAAGTCTATTTGTCTCTCTCAATTGGTTCCCAGATATCGCTCTTCTAGAGGCGTGCAGACTTCAGATACCTTCGGCTTGCTAGAATAGTGATTCACGTTAATCCGTTGTTTGTTCGAGTGAACGCGTGGCCAGCCCTAACAGTAGGTCGACTATGGGCCCATAATCTAGTTCCACTCTCAGGCTACAAGGTAGACAACACTTTAACTCTAGAGCCCCATTCTGGTTCACGTTAATCCGTTGTTAGTTCGAGTGACCGCCTTGTCAACCCTAACAGTAGGTTGACTATGGACGCATAATCTAGTTCCACTCTCAGGCTACACGGTAGCCAACACTTTACCTCTAGAGCCCCATTCTGGTTCACTTGAACGCTAAACCGCCCCATTCTGGTTCACGTTAATCCGTTGTTAGTTCAAGCGACCGCCTGGCCAACTCTTCCAGCAAACCGTCTATGGACTCATCTTCTCTTTCCACTGGCACTATTGCTCTGGAAGAATGCGGTTGGTTTTGAGACTGCCAGTTGGTTTCCATTAATAGATTAATGTTCCTCAATCTATCTTCGATCCCTTCAATCTCTTTGAAAAGATTCAGTTCTATGGCAATGGCCAGGGCTGATTCGAGAATCAAAGCGGCTGTGAGCAAAGACTGTTATTAGGGTCTCAGCTTCGTTGAAACCATGTAGAATGCAAGAAAGGTGTACATGCTACACAGGGGCGTGTGTAGGGAATGGGTTTCGGAACCCCCCGCCCCCTTAGTTGATTAAGTGTGTAGAGAATCACCATTTTGTAAAGTTTAAAATATATTGTGATTCATACATTGCAATATTACGTAAAATATCGTGCATCACTACTGATTTTGTTATTTGCACCAAATGAACCCCCCTCCCCCCCATGAAGCGCCTGCACAGGTCCCTGCGTGTACAAGTAGCAGTAAGAAACAGGTAGCAGTGGCAATGAGCTTAGGCGAGAGTAATGACGGCAGAAGAGTAAGTGATGGTGGAATTGATAGTGGTACCACAGAATGATTAGTTAGTAGTAGTGTGGTGTACTTAGATATTGCTAGTGATATTGGTTACTGGTAGTGGAGTAAGTAGTGCTCTAGTAGTTTTGAAGTTAAGATWATGATAACAGTACTAGTGGTGGTATGTGGAAGAGGGATGTTAACCGAAGTATTATAAATATAAAGTATAAATATGACCAATCTGACTTTATTCTTCACTGGACTCTAAAGATTACTTCATGCTTAGGTTGTCCAAACGTCAGTCACATCAAACAGTCCTTCTCACGACTACATCCACCCGGATGATCATAGTACTTCGATTAACATTCATTCTCCTTGGTTCAGACCGTTATATACAATACAGTAGAGCAAGTAGTACCAAGCAAAAAACTCACCAGTCTTAGCATCTCCTTTTATAACTTCAGCCGTGTAAACCGATCCATTCATTGATGTCCTACGTATATGGTAATCTGATTTGGCAATGAAAAAAGTCACTCGATGCCTCTTGGAACAGTCATTCAAGAGATTAAGTTCCACGTAGTCGATGGCTCGAGATGCTTTGGCTAGTGCCTTTTCAGACACTTGTTGGCTATGGGATCAAGAGAAAATGCAATCCATTAATGCGTAACTGATTTAGCACGTGGATGGTTTAGGAACGGGTGGCTGATTGAGTGGCTAGTATCAACTCTAAATTATCAAACTTATCATGACCATCACCAATATCATCATCATCRGCACCAATATCGGCGTTATCATCATCATCACTATTATTATTATATGATGGCAGATTGAGCACACGACCACAGCGGTTGGAGATGGGGTATTTGAAGGGCACTCATGCTCAACCCGTGGACATACCTCATATCAGGACATCTCTGCCTGGACGTTTTCAAATGGTAATTTATTTCTCTTGTTCGTGTCCTCATTGGGCATCGGTTCGTGTTGTTCTGTGCCTGGTTTCTCCAATGCAACTGAGTGTTTTCAAATCGATATTCAGCTTCCTCCTTCTCGCAAATCGATAAAGGAGCCTTGGCTGACATCTCAGCTAATAATGCCGCCCAATTGTACTGATTGACAGCCGTTTCTTCACATACTTCTACTGCTTCGAGTAACTGGAAACAGGAAAATATTTCAACAAATAACTATACCGATAGGAAGTAAAAGAGTAACGAAAGAAAGAAAGCAAAGGATGTCTATCAGGAAGAAAGATGGTAGAAATGAAATGAAAGGAACAATCCAACCACGAAGAAATAAAAGAAAGAACAAATGAACCCACGAACGAACGAATTTGGAATGAAAGCTTAAGCAAGGAAGGAAGGAAGGAAGGAATTGTGACACACAATTGTGACATCGAAAGTTATGAAGGCTAGGCAGAAGTCAATGGCAAAAGTTCTGTTGCAATAGTAGCTTATATCCAGCAGAAGTTAATGTCTTACCTCGGTGGAGATTTCCATGTGTTCTTCACCCCTTTTAAAGACTCCCCGTTGTCTGAAAACAGCAGAAATAATGTAATGGGCCTTAGCCATTAAAAAGCGGCCGTTCGGTGAGTTCATTGAACGTTCAAACACCCTCATAGCAGTGTTTTCGCATTCATCCAACTTGTTTTGACCAAACAGTATAATACTTTCCTGAAGATTAAGAACACATAAAGAATACCCATTAGCAATAGACAGCGACGTCAGCAACACCAACAATTTTCAGCAAAGGAGACCGCAATGACAACGATAGCTTTTAAGAAAAGTAGCAACAACAGTAGTTGCACAAGAATGCAGCAGCAGCAAGAACAACAACAACAGTACGCAACAACAACAACAACAGCTTTCAAGAAATAGCAGCAATAAAAAAAGCTGAAACGACAACAACAACAGCAGCAACAGTAGTAATAATATCCAAAACCCGCGGTAACAATACGAGAGCTTCCCAAGGACATCAGGCTCTAGAGGGCGTGCCACAAACAAATCCGAGTAGCACAACCATTATCTTATGCGGCAACAACGGAGTGGGGGTCCAAATTCTTGAATAGGGTGCAGATATGCCTACTACCCGCCACCCACTCAGAGTCCTCGATAAAAATATGAAAGGTCCCCTAACATAACATACCTCTAACTCAACAGACAGTCGAAGGTCCTTGTAATAATCTTCTCCAAATTTTTCTTCAAGCAATTTAAGACCTTGGAGCAGTTTTATTTGCTCCACATAAAACTGTTGGTACATTCCTAGATCAAAAAATCGAATTGTCACTCATTACATAATCTGCCAATAATGAAAAGAAAAAAAAACCGGAAAAGAAGGAAAGCATGTGTGGTAGGGAAGTAACAAGAGTATATTGACTTGGGGTGCTCACCATTTATCAAGAAAAACCGGAATTCCCTGTCGAAAAGCAAACGGTGTGTGTCATTCGGATAGGAAAGTAATCCMCTTTTCCCGCTCGTTTTAGTTCTTCCGGTAAACGGGTGTACCACTTGCCGGAAGTCAAAGTCTTCCGCTGTTTTCTTACATTAGCAAACGAATTTCCAACAAAATGAATTGGGTTAAATGGTAAGCACTACCTGATCTGCAAGCTAGTATATTAATTCCAGATAAGAGAGATAAAGATACTAAGGGCAATAACAGGACTATCTAGTAGTCAATATATTACATTCCACACTTAATGTGAGTGTGTCTTGGATTCCAGATCTTGATTTTCCAGGTTCAGGGCGGTAGCAAAGCAAAAAATATATGGGGCTTCAAAAGACTGAGGGGAAAGGTTCAAGAGACAAAAGACAACTGGCACTAACAGGTCACGTGACCACCCCCTTGCAAAAACGAGCAAATGAGTCAAAATGAACTCCAGAAATGAAAGAGAAAAAAAGAGAAGATCGAAAGAAAGAAAGAAAAAGAAAGAAAATCAAATTCAAAGAAATTCAGAATCAACATTGCTTAATAAGCATGAGTCATTTCTTAAATAATTTTCTTTATTTTATTACCATTATCGCCCAAGTTTTGGAAGTGCATTATGATTTTTTTTCCAATATCATTCGCCAGAATACCTAAAAATGAGTTAAAAGAACCAATTAGACCTTCATATGCTTTGCCTTGGGTGTAATGGTTTTGCATTTCAAACCATTCTCATCAACTGTATTCATGTGTCTTCTCTTACCCAGCTGTTAAAAACCCGAGCTAAACTAAACCAAGACCAAGGCCAAAACTTATCATCAAAGGCAGATGTCCCTCTGCTGCACATGCACATGCCCAGCCCTACCTCTCTGCCTGACCCTCCTTCTCTGGCCTATACCTCTGCCTGACCCTCCTACTCTGCCTGACCCTACCCTTCTGCCTGACCCTCCTCCTCTGCCTGAACCTCCCCCTCTGCCTGACCCTCCCCTTCTGCCTGACCCTCCCCCCTGTCTGACCCACCTCCTCTGCTTTAACCTTTCCCCTCTGCCTGACCCTCTTACCTACCTGTTCCTCCCCCTAATCTGCTTGACACTATCCCTCTGCCAGACTCTCCCCCTATGCCTGACACCGACTCTGCCTGACACTAGTCCCCTCTGCCTGACTCTCTTACTCTGCTGTTCCTCATGATCACCCTCTGCTTGATACTACCCCTCTGTCTGACCCTACCCCTGTCTACTCTATACTTAGATCCTGGATCTGTTACTATGCACATATTGCATAACCTAATTTTGTATACTCTATGCTGTACTGGCACAGAGATCCTATCACTGCAAGTTATACAATCACAAAAATTTCATGACCTGTCATTTTAATTTTCAGCTGGGGTCTTTCAACTTCAGTGATATTTCATCCTTCTTGATAATCAAAGACATCATGGTTCCTCTCATGAGTACTAACATGATACGTATCACAATCAAGAAGTGTTTTTCCTAAAATTCAAGAGAAAATAGACCTGTTTAGCTTTGGCATGGAGTAAAGGCATTTAATTAAACAGTGAAATAAAAAAAGGCTAGTCAATGTGTATAAATCAAATTCACACAAAAGGAAACAATGGAATTAGGGTCTACTAATGTGTATTAGTCTAATATCTATTGCACGGGTTTAGTGACTTCACTCTAATCAAATTCAAACAAAAGAAAACAATGGAATTTGGGTCTACAAACGTGCATAAGTCTAATATATATTGCACGGGTTTAAAATGACTTCGCTCTAATTAATGGTTTTCCATTTCAGACGTCCATCTGTGCCGTTCCCCAGAGTAACATTATTTTATTTCTTTGTGGCTGCTGTGCATGAGAAGATCGACACATGAATATGGAAACAACTTAATAAACAAAGGATGACTTTTTATCTGCAAGAAAATCACTGTGCACAAGGAACTTTATTATAAACTTTATTCAAATTAATTAATGCATAATTACAAACCTACTTGTATATCAAATCAATCTTTATGCTCATGGATACCATATTTTTCAAGTTTTTTTGCATTAATTTTTAAACAAATTCCCAATATTTTACAGCTTATAATAGCAAAAAAAACTAGCTAATTAAGTGTCATCATGTTCCTTGCCAGCCATTTGCAGCAGTTTTTTTATTTTTTGATGTCTTATGACCCATTACCCATGATCCATTCTGAGGGAGTACTGTGCCAGGATTTGGGTAGGGGTGTTCGGCTGGGATTCTGAAAGGGGTTTACCCCTATTTATGACAAAAAAAAAATCAATTTTGTAGACCCTGTTTATGACAAAAGATATAATCAATTGCACCCTGAGTTCCTGTTTTAGTTATATGTCAGCTCTATGCGTATATGTTTTTTCGATGACCATTAGATAACCAGTTTCGGTCAATATGAAAGTTGAATCCCTGCATATGACAGGAAACTCACGAAGAACTTGGAACAGGAGTGATATTGCATGATACCCTGCTTATGACAGAAACTTGAAAATAAACCATGATTATACCCTGTTCAGCAGATCATCCCCATGATCCTTTCTTGACCCCCCCCCCCCTCCCCTGCATATAAAACAACCTACTACTAACCATTACTGTGATTCTCATAAAGATTGATCTTGATTTGGTATGTTAACGGCTCATCTTCTTCCACAGGAAGWATACACYTTWCATTCCTCTGGTAGTTGGGAAGTTGATTCTGTTTTTGATCAGTTGGTGGGAAACAGACAAGGCCATTTGGAGAAATATCCACCTCAATGGAATATGTCCCATTATTCTAAACAAAGAGTTATAGCAAGAAAATTAGTCACCATGAATTAGAAATTCAAAAATGAATTAATCTGATGTTCAAGGACTGAGATTCTAAATGCGCAGCGCACGTATTCTAAAAATAGCTTAAAGATTCAGACAAACGTTGCATTCTGTTTAAATGCATGAACAGCATTATACAAACTGATTTTATTATTTTACTTGAATTAAATAATAACCCAATGCATGTAAACTAAGATCTATACTCAGAGATTTAGCCTGTGAAAATTATCTGATGAAAGTAAACTATAAGTTTGATTGTCTGAATTAATTCGCTTTTATCTTTGTTTTTATGACGTCTCGGATTCTATTTGTAATATTTATAATGAATATTTATACTAAAGTGGCTAAGCCACCTAACTCAATATTTTTGCCCGGAATAACCTCGTTCCCAAGCACTATAACTTATCTATATATATCTATATCTTCATGTATTTCATAAGTGCTACACGGTCCACACCATATTCTCATCTTTGCATCATTAAATTACCGTGACCTAACATCTATTTCACCCCGGCCTGTTCTCAGTCTGACCTCTAGCTCAGCTGTTAGAGCATTGGTAGTACAATTCCGAAGATCCTGAGTTCGATTTCCCAGCGACATTGGGAAAATAATTTTTCCGAATTCAATTTCAAGGGCTTTCACCCTGAATAAACTCATTCCCTGCAAGCACTATAACTTATCTATATTTCTATATTTTCAGTATAGATTCTACATAAAGTGAGTATTTGAATGGTAAACGAATTTCATATGATTCCAGTGATACATCTTGAATAATCAAAGTTTATATTTCCAAATTAATAAATGTGATGTCATAATTAAGGCAAGATTAAATATTCCTCGATTGCACGTTACGTCATTGCGGCCTCTCGGGGGAGTGTTTAAGGTGCCATTTAACAAAAGATTTCTTATTAGCATCCATTGTTAACGGCACCACAATGGCCGCCATGCTTTTGTCTTTTGACTCTCTTATGGGAATGTAAATTGCAACCCATCAATACAAAACGTTTCTGGGCAGCAAAATATTCTGTGTATAACCATCATTGTCATTACTCATGGTTTATAGAAAACGGTACTAGCAAATTTTTTTTTATCATAGTAATCAGTGTTGCAATTTTTTTTAAAACGATGAGAAGCAAACTCAAATTCTTATAATGACATCACACTTATTAACATATTGGAAGTATAAACCTTGATATCTTCAAGATGCATCACTCAAATCATATGAAAATCTTTTACCATTCAAATATCCTCTTCATGTTATAGAATCAATACTGAAAATAGCAAATCATCTTACGATTATTAGAATTCGTCGTTTATTCTTCATGTGACAATTCCAGAATTCATCAGTCTCTGAATCTTTGATACCAACTATGAACTGCACCATTATCGATGTACCAAATCCATKCTCAAGATAAAATCTATTGGCATTTTGCCTTGCTGAAGATTGACCAACTTTGTCAAAATCAACCACTTGTCTTGACAGACGAATTATTCCAATGCGAGCAGTTTTAGGCCTGAAGGTCGAAGTTGTTGGAAGTGCCCCTAAAAATTATTTTTTAAATGTACTCTTTAGTTATTATTATTTTTTGCTTATTTTTTAAAATATTTAAACTTCAATTGAATATATAAACACGAAAAAAATTCTTTGGAAGAGTATATTAAAAATATACATATTCAAGTGGATTTTAAAATTCATGATTACATTTAAAAATATAATTTGAGGATTTTTGGAAAACAAGCCCTATTTTTCCAAGAATGACGACGTTTTTCAGACGACACGGATTGTCTCTAACTCTTTTTAAAGAAAAGGCGTCATGAAATTTAAAATTCTTGGTTTAATATTTAATTCAATCCTACGTATTTCAGCCGTTTGAAACACTTTTAAGTTAAAATGCGCCGTGCTATTAAACAAATAAGCGAAGAAGCTTCTAATGATGTTTGTAAAGGATTCCTTGGATAAATAATGGCCAATTTTATGCTAAAAAGGCTAATAGTTCGTGATTTATGCCCGACTCTTGTCTTGTTAGAGCTTTCAAGCTCGAACAAATAGGAAACGTCGACCGTAGCGCACGAAAAATTCAATACTTCACTACGCAGAAGAAAACTTGTCTAATTACAGTAAAATAAAATAAAAATAAGGTTTATAATTACCTTTAGTGGTTTCCTAAACTCACTCAAAGCCTGCCATTGATAAAAACCACGTTCAATTAAAAAGGAAATCCTTTTTTTTTGTGCATGAGAGAAGAATAAACCACTTTCACAAGGACCTACTTTCGTTTTGAAACTGATTTGGCGCGTGGTGGGATTTTTAATTTGTTGTGTCACGTGACACGTGGGTATTCCCCTACTTTTTTTACGTGATCGTGATGTAAGCTTGCAAATATCTCTTGCAAATATATCTTTTTCAAGTCTTTCTTTACAGCGTTCGCTTAGATCGCTCATTCACTGTGATGATCAACACATCTAT